TATATATATAGTTAGTGGGAAGTCTCGTTGAGTGTAACACCCTCCCACAGTGTCCACGAATAGTTTTGCAGTGCGGTACGCCAGAGGATGATTTCTTTTATTGTTGTTTTAGGGTCTTCAGCATTCATTACATCCCACACAAGGCTGGGTTTAACAAGCACTTTAGGACTTTTCGATTGGCTGTGTGCGAATGAATCTATGCACTTGAGATGTTAATTGTATCGATAAACCTGATGCATCCAAGACTATCATGAAGAGACTGGGCCTTGCCGTGGTTTGACGGTTTGTGTCCGTGACCTACTGGGCTATACTGAGCTGAATTCGCAAAACCTGCCTTGCTAGGCCACTTGTTGGTTATATGTCTGACCGGCTACGTCCCCTGGTTCTCCAATTTTGAGGTTGGAACACGTATGGCGATTTTTTCCTAAAAAAAACGAAATGCAGTGGTGTGTTTCGCCAAACACTACCTCCTTGCGGTTTAGTTTTTGAGCTAATAGCCTTGATTGCGGTCTGTAATATGGTCTTGTCTAGCTATTTCACTCGATGTGGGACAATGATTACTATAACCGTTAAACGTTTGGATGATCTCTTTGTCGTCATTTGAGAAAAGGTTGTCCCACACAGCTGAAGAAGATCGGCTGGTGAACGTTTTGAAAAAGGAGTCCGTATTAAACGTCGCAAACACAGGGGAATCAGCCTACTCCAGTTGTGACAAGATTGTCGGTGCTAGTTGTTCTTTGTCACCGTGAAGCATTGACTGGTGAACAACAAGCGAGATTTCTGTTTGGGAGAGGATGCGTTGCTTACATCTGAACTCTCCAACCCCTCCCCACTTGACGGCCCACTGACAGTGCTGGATTTACGCACCAATTTATTAGCTCCCGCCTACAATGCGCAGCTACCTACTCCTCCCCCCCAAAATCATCGGTGAACGAAACTGCGGCAGCTACAACCACTGTACGACGAGTACGCGGTTATTACAGCTGACAATGATGATGACACATAAGCAACCCACACGTTTGTTATTCCCGGACACGCTTACCTAGCAAAAAATACCCCGGAATTTCATCAGTGTAATGCATCTTTTCTGTCCACAGAATTGTGGGGGGGGGGGTGACAGCATAGATAATTAGACAAATACTAGGTCTTGAAAACCGTGGTGTGCAATTAGCTACTGACGAATTCCTTGTCCATTTGGGTATGCAGATGATGCAGTTCTCATCTTCGAAAAGGAAAACAAGACAGGCGTCTTTGGGTGAACTGACCGAAGTCGTCTTTGCCTTTGGCTTTTTATCTCCTCCTGGACACGTGGGTACTGGACAAGTCACCTACACTCCAAGAAGACACTCGATGTTGTGGAACGGTTTGCGTATTTTTGAATTTGTATACCCGATTGTAGTGCGACGGATGAGGTCAATGAGCAAGTCTCTAGAGCTCAGTTCACGTTCTTCAATTTGAGGCGCCTGTGGCAACGAAGCGGACGTTCTGTCAAGCTTCAACATGAGCTGTATTGTACAGTTTTTGAACGTGACCTCCGCGAGCAACGGAACTGAAACTTCTTCAAGTCTTCAATAAGTGTTGTCTCAGACCTACACCTTTTCTAGACTGCTGTCAACGAATCTGTAACGGGACAATTAGAGAAAGTGTTCGATGACGCAGAATGTACTTTGCTCTAAGAATATGTAATGTTTCGCGCATGCTGAATCATCGGCTACTAAAAAGGGTGCTGTTTTGGCTTACCTAATTCAGACTGGCACAGGATGGGCGATGGTCATAATCTGACCTGGCACGTGGGTATGAAATTTGTTGCAAAAATTCTGGTTACTTTCGGTGTCACTCGCTTTCCAGGATGGACTGCTTTTAGATTGCTGGTCTAATATTTTGGGATCTAATATTTTGTTCTATCGCTATGCACAGCTATGTCTCACTGACGGGTTTTCCTGTCTTTTGTCAGACGTGTATAGCGCTCAGCCCAGATTTGCACCGCTTTATCAGCCAACAAGAGAGTCTCCCTGAAGTCGACCTCCAGTTGTCCGCTTTGCTGATTATGCCAATTCAAAGGATTCCTCGGTAAGGAAGAATCCCTTATGTCAACTTTCACATTTTTCTGACGCGCATCCTTGACAGATTGATTTTACAGCTTCTGTACCAGCGTTTAAATTCATTTAGACCATGATGTCTACACTAGACCAGATGCGTAACTGAACGCTCACCTTTATGCCTTTGTTGCTGTCCTGTGACTTGCCGGAGTCCATTGCTTTCTCGCTTCTGATGACTTTGGTTGACTCCTCATAATCATACCTTTTGGATACACTATTACGTACTTGTTCATCTTGTCTGATCCGAAAGACCGATGCTGAGCATAGATCTTACAGTGAAAAAAAACACTCGGTCATCTCTTTTGGGCTAAAAAAAAACACTCGGTCATCTGGTACTTTTGGGCTAGGTTGGTTTTTGTTCGCATGACGGTAGCTTTGCGTGCGAAGTTGTAGATAATCCATAGGTGGTTATTCACTTGGGGATCACTAATTCACTAATGCACCAATTCTTTAGCTCTGTGTGAGACTTATGGACATGGAACATAGTTTGAGTGTCATGTATGATAAAAGTCCAACCTACCAAAATTGAAGCGTCGGATTCCCATCATAGAGCAGTTTAATTTAAGTAGATTCAGAGGGTGTGAGTCTGGGGCGAGGCGGCTCAGTGGTTGGTTAGAGCGCGAATTTACCGGCCGGAAGGTCCGTAATTCGAATCCGACCTCTGCCTCTCGACTTCCCCTGTCTAGGCTTGGGGAACCTGACAGTATCCCAGCAATCGTGCTTTCTTCGGGTGGTATGGCAGCCAGGCACCGGAAAAGTGCTACAGCTGAACGTTAAGACATCTTCAAATTGACGAATCCATTACTTCCATCATGCAACTGCGTTCCAGATTCCATCATTATGTATTCATTATCCTCCATCCTGATCTTTATCCTCCCACTTGAAATCATCGTTGTGCTTAGGACCTGTCCGTATTCTATTCTCATCCCTCATTCTTCCGTTCTTAAGGTACTCGCTGATGTTACAAGAACTACTCATGATCTGTCTACAAATGGACGGCCTAAATAATACGAAAGCCGTGTCTTGCATTGAAAAGCTCTCATCGGTTGTGCAGGAGAGACACATTATCCCCGAACAAGTCTGCACACATATTCTTCGCATGTACGATTGCATTCAGTCTCGCCAACCATTCCCCGAGGATTCGGAACTCGCTTCTGGTCTGGTGTTTCTTGGTCACTTCATGCCGTCGCTTCGCTTCGCCACAGTGAAATTGATGGCTGCTTTCGCGTCGATTGCTGCGACTGCTACCTACCTGAACGAACAAATCAGGATTAACAGTCAAGCGGATATGGCTGCCATTTTGCAATCAAAGTTGCTTGGGAATCGAACGGAGAACCTGCTCCTCGTCCCAGGCCGACGTCTTCTTCGATACGGCTTGGTTTACAAGGTTAGTTTCTTTCACTTCAGTTTGTTTACAACCAACATTCAATCGCTTTCGCATCCATACCCGTAGCTCTTGTGGCCAGTTCGGCATGAGTGCACATCTCAGGTCCATATCCATGCTCCTCCTTCGACTTTAATGTTGTCTGAAAGAGCAGTCATTGCTTGATTTTATAAACCATTTTAAGCAGTTTCTTACTGGCAAAACCGCTGCAGGCTTTTCGACTGATAGGTTCAAGGTACCTCATTTTCTTTTCATGTCATTGTTATGTGAGATATGGCTCGTCGCAGGTGATCAAAGGACTCATAACTGCTTTGGACCTTGACCCACCGAGCACTTTTCGACCATATTTCGATTATTTTCTTTCCAGTCCCACAACTGCTCACTAGTAATCATTCTTATCTGTCTCCGTAAGCCACGGGACAAAATTCATAGCTATTCGGAGCCTAAATTCCTTACAGGTTTTCCTAACCGAAATCAAACGGGCTTCCATGCCGGATGACTGTCCGTTTCTGCAATCACACTTTGAGTGGACCTACCCATCAGAATCTGGCTACTTATGTGATTCTTGATCCTTCCCGCTATACGGCTACACCCAAGTCCGTGTCTCCCACGGTACGCAGTGAAGCTCTTGATCCTTCCCGCTATACGGCTACACCCAAGTCCGTGTCTCCCACGGTACGGCAGTGAAGCATCAGTACCAACACTGATGTTGCTGTCTGATGATGATGATGATGATGATGATGTGTCTCTCACGAAAGAGAAAAGACCGGTACAGGTATCTGTAACATACTGATTTCTGCCGGTCTGAAGCATCCGCGTATAATAAACAAGCAGACACTCAAGTTGGCCATTCAGAGCCGTAAATTTACCCATACTATTCGACCACTTCGCTTGCAGCAGCCCTTGTAAGACTTGTTATCGGTTGCCGATACTGGAAACAGATCAAAATGGGTGAGCCCGCACTACTCTGATGAGTTTCGTTCGCCTTGCCGTTCTCATCGTTAAACTGGAATTGTACGCTCAAAAGAAACTTGTGTAAGGCAATGCTGTCCAACGGGCTATTCTGAAGATGCTGTGTATCTTCTCTGAACCATCTCATCGTTCTATGTTCAATCTGTTTTTAAATGCGTCGAGAACTGTTTCAGTTAGTCGGATTTTATCGTTTTTTGGTATGCTTCGGACGGATTAAAAAGGGGTCTCTTGTCGGAGCCATAGGTCACCCGGCTTTATGATCCCAACCTTGCTGCACAGAAACAGTGCGTCAGAAGGTTGTAATTCAAACCTTTGACCTAGTGAACTCGTGATACGCGCAATCTTATTACAGGAACCCATTACTCCCACATCTCCGTTCATCTCCGGACTTGCAAGGATCCTAACCAAACACAGCTAGTCAGTGAGCGCTGGACAATATATGTGTGACTTCTGGAAATAGCACGCAACGTGCTGCGGATTTTTGGACCCACATTACAACCAAAATGAGCTAACTAAACGATCGATTACTTGGCTGGAAAGCCAAGTGAAGTACATCTTTTTGATAAATTTCCAAGAGAAATTCCGTCTAAGTTCGGCCGTTCATGAATTTAATTGTAAGTTCTTTATGAGTTGTAAATGGATGGCTCTCCACTTACCGCTATGCCAAAGACGGATTATCCAATGAATGGATATCTGTCTAATAACTACGATTTTGAGCTGGGCGATGTGCATGTACCACTTGTCATAAAAAATCTCATCTTTTTCTGAACTACCCTTCGAAGGAGATGGGTTTTCAATGCCTTTATGGATGACTCTGTTGTTTACCTTCCATCCTTCTCCCTTGTAAAGTGATCTAAGAACCCAGCTGAGCCTCTCGTTTGTGATGTCTACAAGCAAGTAAATGTGCTGCACCAGGCCGCCTCATGTTTCAGTCGCTACGATATTCGAGATATCACAATACATGTATATTCGGGATGCACTACTCTTAAGCTTGCTGAAAATTCTTCGACGGCCCACGATCGGTTTCGCCCATTCAGCAGCACATCCAGTTGCTTGGACACATCACAGACGAGAGGTTCAGCTGGGTTCCAGGTGAGTCTCGAAAAATAATAAATTTGTTCGCAAATAAGTTCGAGAGGTTAATTTCGTACAATTTGGTTTCAAGTAGAACATAAGGTTGACGAAAACTCGGGGACTGTGCCTACCTACTGAGCCCTAAGAAAGGCGAAACCGTCCGTGGGCTGTCGAAGAACATTTTTCATCTTGTCTAAATTAAGTAAGGTAGTTATTAATCTCACCTAACACTTGCACAAATAACAAGAGTACTTTTCGGTTCCAATATAGTCGTTAGGATCCTCAAGAGGCTTCTCTTCACTTTTCCAGTTATCCTCCGTCTGATTCCTCTTGTGGTCTTTCTGGTGGATTTGGAAGAGTTTAGTAACTACTGTTCCGGTCGCGACCATTCTACTATTTGTCCCCACTTCTCTGTATGCCGCTGTTTTTTCCTTGTTTAATCTCCGAGAATTGCCAGCCAAGTACCATTTTAAATTAAACAGGATGAACTATCGATCAGAGCATCAGCGTGTCACATGAAAACATCGGAAACATGGCATGATTGCGAGACCTGAAACCCATTGTTCAAAACAAAACCGCCATTTCGCATCACTGATGGGAAAATTGCGTCCACCGTATAGTCTTCTTCTCTGAACCATCTCATCGTTCTATGTTCAATCTGTTTTTAAATGCGTCGAGAACTGTTTCAGTTAGTCGGATTTTATCGTTTTTTGGTATGCTTCGGACGGATTAAAAAGGGGTCTCTTGTCGGAGCCATAGGTCACCCGGCTTTATGATCCCAACCTTGCTGCACAGAAACAGTGCGTCAGAAGGTTGTAATTCAAACCTTTGACCTAGTGAACACGTGATACGCGCAATCTTATTACAGGAACCCATTACTCCCACATCTCCGTTCATCTCCGGACTTGCAAGGATCCTAACCAAACACAGCTAGTCAGTGAGCGCTGGACAATATATGTGTGACTTCTGGAAATAGCACGCAACGTGCTGCGGATTTTTGGACCCACATTACAACCAAAATGAGCTAACTAAACGATCGATTACTTGGCTGGAAAGCCAAGTGAAGTACATCTTTTTGATAAATTTCCAAGAGAAATTCCGTCTAAGTTCGGCCGTTCATGAATTTAATTGTAAGTTCTTTATGAGTTGTAAATGGATGGCTCTCCACTTACCGCTATGCCAAAGACGGATTATCCAATGAATGGATATCTGTCTAATAACTACGATTTTGAGCTGGGCGATGTGCATGTACCACTTGTCATAAAAAATCTCATCTTTTTCTGAACTACCCTTCGAAGGAGATGGGTTTTCAATGCCTTTATGGATGACTCTGTTGTTTACCTTCCATCCTTCTCCCTTGTAAAGTGATCTAAGAACCCAGCTGAGCCTCTCGTTTGTGATGTCTACAAGCAAGTAAATGTGCTGCACCAGGCCGCCTCATGTTTCAGTCGCTACGATATTCGAGATATCACAATACATGTATATTCGGGATGCACTACTCTTAAGCTTGCTGAAAATTCTTCGACGGCCCACGATCGGTTTCGCCCATTCAGCAGCACATCCAGTTGCTTGGACACATCACAGACGAGAGGTTCAGCTGGGTTCCAGGTGAGTCTCGAAAAATAATAAATTTGTTCGCAAATAAGTTTATTTTGCTAATTTCGTACAATTTGGTTTCAAGTAGAACATAAGGTTGACGAAAACTCGGGGACTGTGCCTACCTACTGAGCCCTAAGAAAGGCGAAACCGTCCGTGGGCTGTCGAAGAACATTTTTCATCTTGTCTAATTTAAGTAAGGTAGTTATTAATCTCACCTAACACTTGCACAAATAACAAGAGTACTTTTCGGTTCCAATATAGTCGTTAGGATCCTCAAGAGGCTTCTCTTCACTTTTCCAGTTATCCTCCGTCTGATTCCTCTTGTGGTCTTTCTGGTGGATTTGGAAGAGTTTAGTAACTACTGTTCCGGTCGCGACCATTCTACTATTTGTCCCCACTTCTCTGTATGCCGCTGTTTTTTCCTTGTTTAATCTCCGAGAATTGCCAGCCAAGTACCATTTTAAATTAAACAGGATGAACTATCGATCAGAGCATCAGCGTGTCACATGAAAACATCGGAAACATGGCATGATTGCGAGACCTGAAACCCATTGTTCAAAACAAAACCGCCATTTCGCATCACTGATGGGAAAATTGCGTCCACCGTATAGTCTTGTCTTGTTTTAACCACAAGAACATACATCATTCCCGCAGTGTGTGATGTTTCTATAGGTTTGACAATTGGAACAATTGAAGCGAAAACGCATGAAATTTGAAATACTCTGTGTGAATGAACCACTGGGTACTGTCCAATGTTTTATTGGTCTAAAAGAGTGCAACTTAGTCGTGGGAGCCAAGGAAAGCTATGCCGAATTCTTTGTTCCACCTCCTCGTAGTATTTGAGTAGCAACTCCAAACAGCGGTGGAGCTTCCGAACTGGTGTTGTGCTACTTCACCACAGATTGACCAGTTCACTGTCACTCCTAACGGTTGGAATCAAACGGCAGCCAAATGTGAAAAGAGGTTCCTTTCTAGTTTTCTTCACCTGACGCCGCTGCCCTTTGGCTTCATGCGAAGGCCCCACGACGTTATTATTAAACTAGATTAACAGTATTCATTAAGTGCAACGTCGCCATTGAATGATCTCATCTGTTAACACTAGAACAACAAGCAAAGTTAACTAAATGGGACGACTAGTTATTCACTTTGGCTAACTGCCTGTCGGATCTCTGGGACGCTGTTTACTGGGGAAACGAACTTTCAGTCTATGCGGAAAGGTACTGTACAGCCGTTTCACTCTTGTTGGGAATCGCCAGCAGTGTACCTCACCAATCTCTTGTGGCCGAACGGTATAGGCCTTAACTACTAGGCAAGAGATCATGCGTTCGAATCCTCTTAGGGTTTCACGAGGTGAATCCCAATGAGTCTTTCAGCGTGGACTGAGGTCTGTTTCAAAATCTCTTCATGCCGTCGTTTAATTTAACTGCCTTTAAGATGCAGATAGACAGCACATTACCAGAGCGTCCACTCAAGCGTTTAGTGGTTGCGCAAAAAGTCCTATCTACTTGTCGGAATCGTATACCCGTAGACAATCAACGAATTTTTTCCCACTATCCTGATTGGAAATTTATGAGGCTTGGTAAATCTGGAGAAAACAAAATTATCGAGAAATACACTCATTTGCAAATCAATTTAGTTTTCACGAGAGACTCAACTGAATCTCTCGTTTATGATGTTCTGCAACTGAATGTGCTGCACACAGGCCGCCTCATGATTCAGTTGGAACGATATTCGAGATATCGCAGTATATTTTCATGAGGGAAACTACTCACAAGGTTTTCAGCAACCTTGTGAGTGGTTTCCTTCATGTAAACAGTTATCTTTTTGGCGAGAAAACCATACATAGTTGCACCCAAACAAAACGTGATATTCATGCTTCGGTTGCACTATAAACCCATACAGGAATATGAAGGGAAACTATATACAAAGAGCTCTTTTAAAACACTAAAGGAGCTTTGGAGTATCAAATAAGTATGTGAGTCGTTATATGCTCCCTTTTGGCGAGTTCATCAAGCAGGAAGATCCACAGAGTGACAGTATTCAGATTACGAAACCCTGACTGTTTTGGGGGCAGCCTGACATTCATCCACTCCACTATTCGTTCCATCTATTTACTTCAGATGAAAAACTACTCAACGTTGTGCTTGCAAAGTTTAGTTGAATTTCAGCTAAATTACCAGTGACATCTTGGTGAAAGATCCTCTTGCTTAACAGATCTGCGCACTAAATTAGTCGTGTGTCCTCAGCATTTCTTTCAAGACTAATGTTAGTCGCACGTACAGAAGACGTTACAATGCGGATATGTTGTGGGTATTATCACGTGACTATACTTCACCGTTTGTACTCGGCTTTTTGTCTCTGTTCTTACGTTGACTCGTCCAAGCCATACGAACATGAAAATCGTCTTCCCCACTCATGCCGCCACTGTTGAGTACAAAAGATCAATTCATGAACTACCCGCTGTAGTGCGTGACTAAAATTCTCAGGCGCCTCAGTTATCTCTCAAACCGGACCTAATACAGTTGTTTACGGGTTGTCTGACAACCATGCCATTTTCATTCATGCTCCGTGAGAACCTGGAAGTGAGAAATCGCTGGAGTGTGGATGCATTATTCCTCCCAACCCTTATTTGTTACAACTAGCCTCATAGCTTTCAATAAGCACTTTTTATCAGACGGACTATTAGATGTTATTGATTCGACGTTTGTGCCTTCTAGCACACCAAGCCTTGTAACTATCAAATCACAATGGTTCTATGGTCACCAGCATCCTGTTTCTGCATAGAAACTTCGGCTCCCAACCATACTGTCACTGACCAAAGCGAAATTGGAAGCGGATAGGTGAAAATACATGGATTATGTCACGAAGTTTCAAGTGGTTGCCACAGTCACCGAAGAATTTAAAGTGCGACTGAACGATCATTCCGGTATGGTGGCACCAAGAAGTAAACCACCTTGGTTTGCTGACGAATTATTTGTGAGCACTTTTCCATTTTTTTGTTTTCGAATGAAGCTCTCTGGGTTCGCGCTTGTTGCCTTTGCTGTCAGGTGTTCGTGAATCCTGACTGTTTTGAGGAAATTTTTACACATCTTCATCATGTCTTGTGCTTGTCTCAGCGCAACGAGCTTACCGGTCGACTTCACTCCAGGCTGTTGGTACTCATGTCCGATATACTGATCTATGCAACCCCTTGCCTTTGCTGTCAGGTGTTCGTGAATCCTGACTGTTTTGAGGAAATTTTCACACATTTTCATCATGTCTTGTGCTTGTCTCAGCGCAACGAGCTTACCGGTCGACTTCACTCCAGGCTGTTGGTACTCATGTCCGATATACTGATCTACGCAACCCCGCGGAAGGTCTACCGACGTTCTGGAAAATTTGTTACTGTCCCAGCATCAACTAAAAAGTCGGGTGACTTGCGTCGCTCTCAACCAATGTCCTCCACTCGTTATCGACGAGTCAGATTCAATCACTTTGCATTTTTACGTGCCAGAACCAAACGACTCATAGCAGGACGTCTGGCTGAAAAGGCGTGGCTGAACAGCATCACTTGTCCGTCGTCGCCCTCATCAGCTCACCCCAAGGACATCCTAACCAAGAGAAACCTGCGCTTTTCCTGCGTTTCCGTCTATCCGTTGCACCATTGCCAAATCGAACCGCATTTCACACCGAGCATCCCCACCGATCAGACTTTTATTCTTTCACGAGTGACCCGATTAACCTCTATTTTGGAGTGCAGCCCGGTCAAAAGCACTAGTTCTCAGTCCAAGGGTGAGCGGTTGACATTATTTTCAATCTAACGTACTCTGCGATCATCGTTAGTGCACTTATCTCATGGTCTTTTCCACTGGGTTATCGCACACAGCTACAAAATACACACACACGTTTCCTCGGATGACTTTTTACGCTAGCATTGCACGGCTGGGGTTTCTGCCAGCTTGTTGGCATTCTAAATCCAATTTCGATAGACGTTTCACCTTATTCATTGTGTCCAATGCACCATGGCTTTTCACATCCATTCATGCGCATACTGTTTTACTTGAAGAGAAATTGAAGGTAGCGATCAGTTGGTCCTTCATAGTTTCACTTTTTCCCACGTAATCACGTTGCTTGTGTCGCCTGCTACTCAGTGAGTTTTACTCAGCCGACCACCTACAAGCTTAGTCATTTCACAGCTTATCAGTCTGAATAACCAGTTTACCGAGTTTCTGCACCTAGAAACGCTTCCTAAAAACATTAGAAATTGTATTGATATATACTTACTCCCCTCAAAGCATTTCCTTTAGCTGAATAATGGTCGCTGCTCTCATCACTATTATTATTATTATTATTATTATTATTATTATCAGAGACAGCGACACTGATGCTTCACTGCCGTACAACCACAAAGTTTGTCTAATTATATCAGAAGCCTTAGAATGAAAAGAGCAGGTAGACTGGGTGAGGGAAGGGACTTGGTGCTGGCTTATATATAATGTATCCTCAGGTGCCTACATCCACAAGCGCTCAATCAGACAACCTGGAAGGAAACTGACAGCGCGAAGGCCACTGACATCGATCAGCCGCCATTTCTTACAATGTCTCTAGCCAATCCTGGAAGGTATGTTGCTCTGCGATAAGAACAGAATTATATCGTGGAGCCGAATATAGGTCGACACTAACTTTTCACAGGCTCTTCTCACAGGGTTTTCGCGTTTTTCCGGTTACACTACCTTAAAAGTTGTCTCATACGGTACATTTTTATACATGGAAGGCGATGGTGCATGTGTACCATGATTTTAACTAGGTCAGCTCTGCGATCGTATCTACCTCTTTCATCCTCTGCTTGTAGGTAGTAGGACGCTGTGTTCGAAACCGATGGCGAGATGACTCCGTGGTTAGAGCA